ATTGTCCACCTAAAGAGGACACTACTTCAGTGCATGCATTAGCACTGAGCACTAGCGTTGGACATAAATCTTGAGTTGTGGAATTGTTCCATACTAACATAATTGCTTGGGATACTTGGTTGTATATTAATGACCCAACCTGATATCATCTTCGTACACAGTAACTAAGAATTGATTGTTAAAAAATAAGCAACCTCTGCTTCTGAAAAGTGAAGCCAATGCGGAGGTGTTGGAAACTTGCATTCTTTCCACTGACCAGCAGGGTGCGACTCCTCTGGTAGCTAAAAGAAGTCTGCTTGTATAGAAGACCATGAAAAAATGACTCTACGTCTCACTCGATTTATTACCTCAGTAAACATTGTAAACATGAGTTTATGGTCTCAATCTCTCGTTTCAAGTATTCTTCAATGTTGATGATTGATGTTCATTTTGTAAATTATGGTCCATTTAGAGCAGGCATGGGCAAACTACGGCCCGCGGGCCGGATACGGCCCGTTGGGCATTTTAATCCGGCCGTCAAATGATGGTACAAAATTGTCCAAACTATAATAAAGACTAGGGCTGGGTAGTATACAGGTTTACATTTCCCACATAATATGAATTCTTCACACAACATCATACCGGTACATAGCCGAAACAACTGCTGTCTGTCTTCAACAGGCAGCTAAATATATTGTTCGCCGCTGAAAGCACTGCGGTCGGCGCTACTTCTCTTATATGTATTGAGAGAGACCCCTAGTCATGGTCATTTATATAACACAACAATTAACAACTCACAACTAACGCTCTTTAACAGAGCAAAACACCATGACACAACAGTCTGTGACACATTTGTAACACTAATAATTGTACATTTATAAAATTTCACCGCCGAACTGCATGCTGGGTACAGCTCACTCGCGAGCCTGCTTGCTAGCACAACAGTCTGCTAGCAGCTGGGAGAGGCTCCGTCGCTCCAGTAACGTTACATTAAAGAACAGAACAGAGCGATGCAGGATGAACAAAGACAGACCGGAGATGTACCGATAGAGTTTGACACATAGGCAACGCTGATTACCGTGTAATATGTGTGGTATTTGTTCTAAATGTACGTTGGTACATAGAGGGTGATAGGAAGCTGTACTTGGAGGGGCTTAGGACCCAGGGGAATGTAGGTGAAGGAAACAGGAAGAGACGTAAGACACGCCACACAAGCAGCTCTTCACCGCTCGTCACGATCCTTTTGCTTTATGCAGCGGAGTTATTCACGCTTCCAGCATTTACGGCACTTGTTCAGCGGTGCAGGAAAAACACCGACCAATGAGTTGTAAATCAGGTCACGTGATGCAGTTTAGCCAATAAAACAAGGGTATTCTGATACGTTTCCTGACTCAAGTGAGATGTACCCACACCGTGACACAGGGGGGAGAGACAAGGAAAGACATAACACAGCAGAGCTCTTACAATGTCAGATGTAAAAGTCAAAATATCTGTATGATCCCTTTAAAAAATCAAATTGCTCTAAAGTCCACAGTCTTTAACTGGCAAAAACCTTAGATCTGTTCTGAGAATTGCCACAACCAAACTGACATCAAATATCATGCACTGGCAAAAAAAAGGTGACCAACAACACTGTTCCCACTGAGATTAATTGTAAATTTCCTTTACTTTTTAGGTCATGGCTTTTACTTGTAATTTATATTAGTTCACACAAACACTCTCCATTAATCTGTTACTGGCCCGGCCCGTCTGTCAAATTTTATAATTTATGTGGCCCCCGAGCTAAAAAGTTTGCCCACCCCTGATTTAGAGTCAAGCAGAGTATTTTTTAGGGCGGGCTACCTTGTGATTTTCAGGTCGCTACCAGAGCCGTATACGGCTTCTCTTCGTCACTCCCCCGCAGTCAAAACACTGTCACTTTCGTTCACGAGTTGCAAAAAAAAGCCAAGATGGCAAAGGACGTAATCCAAAATGGCGACTGCCAAAAGGCCAAACTAGAGGCTTCAAAACAAACCAATGCACGATGTCACGAGGGCTACGTACACTTGTCTTTGGTTGAACAACATTTTGAAGGCTGTCATTCACCATTCTGATCCGAGAAACGAGATGAGATTTAAAGGAAAAGATAACCAGTGTGATGTGGATTTCATATTTCAATGTTTGTGTTGTACACAGGTTGTTGAGAGCAGCGAGCAGAGATACCGGTCTGTTATCTGGGGTCCAACCTGCGACAGCTTTGACAAAGTAACCGACAGCTGCTGGATTCCTGAGCTGCATGTGGGGGACTGGCTTCTCATCGACAACATGGGTGCTTATTCCATTTGTTTATCCACCGAGTTCAACGGCTTTGAAAGAGCACACATTTACCCTGTGGTGACAGCCGAGACATGGCACACCTTAAACCTTGTTAGCTCAACGTATGTGCGTGCATACGTCGGTACACATGCAAACAGAATCATGTGCCTGGCCGTACCGCCATGACTTAAATAAATTCAACATTTTGCAGTTGATGGTAGTAAGTTAGGGTTAAGGGTTAACTGTGAGTTAGCAGGATCTTGTATTTTTTGCAGACCCAGAATAAATTGTTACAAAGTGGTCATGTCTTAGCCTGGTTTTGCCAAGTATATTTAGTTATTTTATTTTTTTTGACATTATCTCACTTTTGAACTTCCCTGAATTGGAACTGCTGAGGAGGGATGAAGAAGGCACACTTCTTTCGAGAGATAAACTTTTAAGATCACAAGTGTGGTCTATAAAATCATTTTACAGTAATTTTATGATAAATACATTTAAAAAATCTATCCATTTATCTATTTATATGTATTTCTTAAATGCAGGTGGATTGACAGTATGTACAGTCACAGCGATGCTTATGTTGTAAATGATTTATTGATGATATTAACATGTTATGAACAGTGAGTGTTTAAATATGGTATATGTAACATATTGATTAAGTGGATGTGTATTACAGGGTTATAGATACTATATGACTGATATTTAACCGTTCATCAGAGTAGAGAGTGCAACACCGAAACCTCCACTAGCTCCCCACACAGCAAAGAATAAGTCAACTTTTGCAACATCTCTGCATTGGCGCACACTTTTATCTTTCCTGAACAGAATCAACACACTGGTGTAGTTACCGTTTCATTTGTCATCTCATGGGCACTTACTGCAACCAAACACACCCTTTCCTTTTCACATTTTTATGAACACTTTTAATTATAACTTGAGGTTCAAAAATGGGGTTAAAGTATCTAGTAATTGTTACACTGATTTTTCAAATATTCTTTTGTATTTGCCTTACAATGTATTAAAAAGGTAAAATAAATAAAGGAGAATACAAATTAACTACAAGTGTTGTTCCTGTTTATTGCTCTCACTGTTTAAGACTGAACTCTCAAACGTTCGTTCCCTAAAGTCATCACTCCTGATGGTTTTAACCATGACTTGCATGTAAAAGACACTGGTCCTGTCCGTTTGGATCCCTACCTGCCATTTATCCATAAAGGTGTCGTGTCCATGGGAGGAAGTGGGGTGAAAGGTGCCGCTGAAGGAACACATCTCTTTCATTCAGGCTGAAGTCCTGCTCTTAGGACTCTTAGGACTCAGGGAGTATGAAACAGGAATCCCGTTTGTGGAATGGATTTAAATGTTCTGTTGGTTCTATTCCACAAAGTGATTGCCGATATAGAGGATTTCTGTCATCCAGAGTAACAATTTGGTTAGCACATGTGTTTGGGCAGATGTACCCTCTGCCTGTGGGCATGCTTGTGCCACTGGTGAGATCAGAACCACACGAAAATGAACGTGATTCACTGCGCAGTAAGTTGCGTGATGACAATTTCAAAACCTGTGTCTCTGTCAAATAAGGAAAATGTTGCTGGGGAAATTGTCCCTGCCTCTGTCTAATTTTCCTGTGTCAATATCTTGCAGTGATCTGGTTGCAGAGCACCAGGCTTCCTTCTCTGAAGGAGCTGTTTCAGCAGGTTGGACCTGACATTGAGGTGCTGGACAGTGCTTGTGGTTATTTTTTTCAGGATTCCCTGTTGGTGAGGGGATCCTCTCTTCCAAATAGTTTTGCCTGTTACACTCCGTCAGTAAGTGTTAAAAGTAACTCATGATGAGTCTGAGGAAAACGTATGACTGGATTTGAAGACATTTCTTTTGGCCTCGTATGAAGAAAGTTGTCTCTGTTCATTAAAACATGCCATATATGCCAGCTGACAGACAAACCTAACCAGACAATAAAAGCTGTGCCAATTGACTGTGTGGGTCCTTTGCCTTACTCAACGCCAGTTACTCCTTACCTTCTGACTGTCAGGTAGTGAGAGCACTATCCAAGTTCATTTCCATAGTCGGCATTTCGAAAGTCATTCAGTTCGACCAAGACTCAAACTTTTCTTCCCACGCGTTTTCCTCGGGCCTCAGCTCACCATGCTCAGAGTCAGGGTGTGTTGGAACGCTTCATGGGGTTGGGTAAAGACTGGGAAGACGGTTTCCTTGGTTACGCGTGTGTGTGTGGGCGTGGCTCCGACCTGATCTCCCGGTTCCATCCTGATTGCGATTAATTCACCTCACTTGCCCAGTCAACCCAGCTGCCTTCCATCAACCCATCTACTCAACAGTTTATCTCCCCCGGTTTTACATTCACTCTTAGCCAGGTCGTTGATGCAACCTGTATCTTGCTTGTTCTCGGCTGCTCAGTATTATTAGATTCTGAGTTTATCCAACTGCCTTCTCTTTAACTGTACTTACCTCGTCTTCCTGTGCCCGCAGTTTGGATCATCCCCTCCAGCTCCACATTTTGCCTGCCCTGTCTTGTTCTGCCCAGTTCCCCACCCTCACCCTCCCCCTCCCGCTGCTCCACTACATTTTTCCCTTTTGTCCTCCTGGAACAAAACCCTTTCAGTCCCTTACCCCCTGGTGTCTGCATTTGGGTCCGCCACCACACCCCGTGACATAATGCTTGCAGCTAGAGAGACAACACAAGAGAGCACAAGGTTTTCCTCAAATTAACTCATGTTTGCGCACACCGTAAGTCGGAAGTCCCTTAGCTACATTTGCCGGTAACTGGAAGGAATCGGAACTTGCTAAAAATTTGATTGAGTACGTACGGTTACAGTTTTCGACAAAAGGCAACAACTGGAGAACTGGCACTGGAAAGTCTGGCCACAGCTCGGGTCAACATGAAACACTTTGGAGATGCTGGGCACTCCGGTGGTTGCCTTCCTTCCTATTGTTGGTTCACCTTTTCAGGCAAAGTCTACAGGTCTACACACGGTGTTGAAACAAATCTCGGAGCAGAATTATGTAATTTCAATGCTTCAGCGCAGGAAGCCAACTCAGGTTTTTCATGTAAACTTACTCAAATCATATTATGCGCACAACTCTGAGCCACCCTCTTTCTGTACGCAGCCAAAGATTGGTCACAATCATGCAGCCTATGTAGTTAGTGCACTGCTGGTGGAGTCTGTTGAACCTGTTCGGATGCAAGGAAGAGATTCATGATGTACTCCAGATGAAGTTCTGTTATTGGGCCATTAGAAGAACTCTGAAACTTTCATCAATATGGATGTTTGCCTGAGTCGCACCATGCAAAAGTGGTTCAGTTGATTTGAGTTTCCAGTGTTTGTTTGGTGATGTGCCTAGTTGCACCCACTTAATTGTGCACGATATTGACGTCGGAGATGCTAAGCCAATAAAGCAAAGGTTCTATCGTGTAGATGCAAATCAACAAACGTACTTGGACGCAGAGTTAAATGAAATGCTGGAAATGGGTATTGCAGAGACTTGATCTTTCATTTGGTCCTCACCTTACTTGCTTGCTCCAAAGGCTGATAACACGCCACGGTTTTGCTCTGACCTTCGTGAAGTCAATGATGTCACTAAGCCTGATTCCCTCCCACTTCCCAGGATCAATGACCATATAGATCTGGTGGGCTCTGCACAGTTCGTCAGCAAATTTGATCCTCTAAAAGGATATTGTCAGGTTTCGTAGTCCCAGCGAGCACGTGAGATAGACGCTTTTATAACTGGTCTCTACTCACCGTGATGCCTTTTGGACTTCGGAATGCGCTAGCTGGGTTTAAATGCCTTAAGAACAGTGTTATTGGTGACTTGCAAGGGTGTGCAGTTTACTTAGATGATGTAGTGGTTTACTCTGACACATGGGAAACCCACTTGGAGCGTATCCGGGAACTGATCACCCATTTGGCGGGGCAAGGCTCATGGTAAACCTTGCAAAGTGTGAGTTTGCGAGGGCAAGCGTGACCTACTTCGGCCTGGTGGTCAGGCAAGGCAAAGTGCGCCCATTCAGTGCAAAAGTTAAGGCCATAGAATAGTATCCAGTTGCAACAAAGAAAAGAGTGTTGATAGATATGCATTTGTGATACTTCGAAAAAAAATTGATTGTAAACTGCAACAATATACGTTTCCCTCGAGACGTAATTTACAATGCAGTTTCGTTGTATGAGAACGTAATCTTTATTACTACCTGTCCAGCAAAAAATGGTGGACAGCTAATGTTAGCAACTAGCTGGTAAACATAGGTCAGAATGTAGAAGTTAAAGAGTCAGATATTTTGCCCAGGAATAGGTAAAGAAATACAGCTAAAGGAGCGTGATTTGACGTATATATTCATTAGATTAGCCATGAAAACCACCTCAAGTGAATGCTAATGTTGCTTTCTGTGTGCTGGATGTGTAAACAGGCAAATGTTTGCACACCATATCCAAAGGATCATTTCTGCTGCTCGTGTGTGTTTACTTAAAAATCTGTACGACTTAAAAGAAAAAAAGTTTTTTTCTGGCCATTTTAACCTGATAATGTGAGTATCAAAAAACGACATGGTATTTCACAGTGAACAGTTTTTCCTTTCTTCGCGACAGAAGAAAACCCACATCTTTATTGAACTCCCTGTATTTTTCATACTTTCCAATGAGTTTTTACTGCACCGTACATCAAAGAGGACAACACTGAAAACGGAGATTAGTACCCGACAAGAGTGGTGGAGTGATGGATGTTGTGGTGAGACAATGGCACTGTGTGAGCAGACTACGACAGTGTGGACCACGAAAAACCAAAAACACAGCGTGTACATGTGTAGGCAGCACCTGTCGTTACCTTAATTCACCTGTAATCTTGCTGAGCTCAACAGCTTTGGCGCCACGGCGGGGGGTTTGTTAACCGATGGGTAAACTCTTGCCATTGCCGCTTGTACTATCGCAGGTTGGCCGCCGCCGAGCAGACTTTGCATTACTTTAAAATCTAAATGCCTGATGTTTCACAGTGAAGTCACTCGAGTTGCTCAAGCTACATCTGAAGACAAACTAAACACGTCTTTACTTACAGATGTAACGCATTTGTCTCGAGCTGTAAAAAGTCTTTGATAAATGTTGATCTTTCTGTGGAGGACAATTATGTCAAGGGTTACTATTATTCCCTGATGTGTCTGTGAAGGCATCGAAAGCTGAAGTTTGGGGTGGGGGGGTGGAGGAAGAGAATGAAGGAAGAACTCTTTACAGTTGTATTGGGGAAATACAGTATATACACATGTACATTTAGGAAAATAACTTCTTGTATAAGTCCGCTTCCCTCCGATAATTTCTTTCAGTCCTCTTTTTTTGTATATACAATATATATAACACAGTGATTCTGCAAACTATACATGACTTTTCATGAGGGAGTGAATGCGCGATTTAAGAGGGAATCCTCATCATCAGTCCGTCCACATTTCAGTCTCTCGGCAATCCTTCCTTTAGGTTCACACGGTCGGCGTATAGTTAACCTTTTAAGTATTTGGAAATGCTGTCTATTTTTCTGCATTTAATGTATAAAACCATGGTGTCTGAAAAGTAATCCGGTCCTCTCAGCAGAGTTTAACAGCTTTCATTCAACCTCACGCCAAGCTTCAGGGGGAGGGGGAAGAGGGGGAGCGGGGCGCATGGCTCCGGCGCGGGGAGGAAACCGATTCGGGCGAAGGACTGGGATGGCGGCTTCCGGGCTCCATTTCGTTCTCTTCTTTGCTTCCTCTGCAACCTTTTCCTCCTCCTCCTCCTTTCCCTACCTCCAGTCCCTCAGAGTTCTCCAGCATTTCCTGGATGAGAGGAGGCATGGAGCCGGGTATTTCCATTTTCAGTGTGATCACTCGCTCCGCTCCTGTGGGAGAAAAGTTCAGGATGAGAGAACAAGTCGTCATGTGGGGAACCTGATGTGGTGCAACGTATCCTCATACGACGGTTTATATGGTGTCTAACGAAAAGCTCCTCCTCGTTTCTAATGCATTTTCCTAAGAAAGTCTGGCAACACGTGTCAATGTTCGCTCGTTAATGTATACTGTCTTTTCAAAATAAACTTCTGTCTTCACAGGAAACTCAGTTAAGTTTAGGCAACAAAAATACTGAGTTAGGTTCAGGAAAAGATGGTGAAATACTGAGTTAGGTTTAGGAAAAGATGGTGAAATACTGAGTTAGGTTTAGGAAAAGATGGTGAAATACTGAGTTAGGTTCAGGAAAAGATGGTGAAATACTGAGTTAGGTTCAGGAAAAGATCGTGAAATACTACGTTGGGTTTAGGAAACGATCGTGAAATACTTAGTTAGGGTTAGGAAATGATAGTTTTAGGCAACAAAACTACTTAGGTCTGTTTGGGAAAAGATTGCTGTTTGGGTTACTACGGAAGTGGTGTTACTACATTACGCAGGTTACGTGACAAATAAATCAACGTTAACTTCTCGTTTCCCACGGGAAATGAACAGCGGCCTCCCGGCTGAAAGGTTGCTCTTTGTTTCCTACCTAAAAGTTGCTGTTACCGGAAATATGTCACACTGTAGGCAACGGACTGTCTAACCTCGTTACCCTTGCCTGTAGCTCCGCCCAAGTAATTTGTGTGTGTGTGTCTCACCCTTCACACTGATGCTCCTGAGGTCAGTAATCTTCATCAGTATCTTGGGGAACATGCAGGGTTTCTCGGGCCTCCTCCTCCTCACATAGAGCTGTGCCAACACACGAAGACATGGAGGAAAAGTTTGTTAGTATGTATGAATATAAATAAATATATATACTTGGTAAAGCAGCTATTTTACCATACCATTAACCACTGATGCTTGAGTGTAAGAATTGAAACATTCTCATTTTCATCATTTGGACAACTTTCTACATCGTTTGGTGGATTAATATATTGTTGTTGTTTTAGACTAATTTCAATATTTCTATTGATAATAAATGATGTGTGTGTTTTACTGGAGGATCAGACTTTCGATTGTTGCTTAATGTCTCACTCACAGTATTCTCATGCCTGCCACGACACTGCTGAATAAACACAGTGGAAAAAACAAATACATACAAGTATGTATCTGTTGTGTTCTTATTTAATTCTGCTCTATATGGTGATCATTTTAAAAATCATCTTAAATCATTAAATTCATCCTTTGTAGGATAAATCTAGTGAACTCTTTTAATGCCAACTAATCCTCTGAAAAGAACAAAATCAACAATAAATTGTGTGTTAATCCAAACGCTGACACTCTTGGAGCTCCATGGCTGTCCAAACACGACTAAAATCACATCAGTGAGCCACACTGTTGCCCGGGGTGACATGTTTGTTCTTTTAATACCATGAACAAACATGTCACCCGTGTTTGTTCTTTTAGACTCAATCAAACCCTGTTGCGTTTGCTTTAAAACTAGTTATTTTTCAGCATATACAATGGGTACGGAAAGTATTCAGACCCCTTTAAATTTTTCGCTCTTTGTTTCATTGCAGCCATTTGCTAAAATCAAAGAAGTTCATTTTATTTCTCAGTAATGTACACTCAGCACCCCATCTTGACAGAAAAAAATAGAAATGTAGAAATTTTTGCAAATTTATTAAAAAAGAAAAACTGAAATATCACATGGTCATAAGTATTCACACCCTTTGCTGTGACACTCATATTTAACTCACATGCTGTTCATTTCTTCTGATCCTCCTTGAGATGGTTCTACTCCTTCATTGGAGTCCAGCTGTGTTTAATTAAACTGATTGGACTTGATTAGGAAAGGCACACACCTGTCTATATAAGACCTTACAGCTCACAGTGCATGTCAGAGCAAATGAGAATCATGAGGTCGAAGGAACTGCCCAAGGAGCTCAGAGACAGAATTGTGGCAAGGCACAGATCTGGCCAAGGTTACAAAAGAATTTCTGCAGCACTCAAGGTTCCTAAGAGCACAGTGGCCTCCATAATCCTTAAATGGAAGAAGTTTGGGACGACCAGAACTCTTCCTAGACCTGGCCGTCCAGCCAAACTGAGCAATCGTGGAAGAAGAGCCTTGGTGAGAGAGGTAAAGAAGAACCCAAAGATCACTGTGGCTGAGCTCCAGAGATGCAGTAGGGAGATGGGAGAAAGTTCCACAAAGTCAACTATCACTGCAGCCCTCCACCAGTCGGGGCTTTATGGCAGAGTGGCCCGACGGAAGCCTCTCCTCAGTGCAAGACATATGAAAGCCCGCATAGAGTTTGCCAAAAAACACATGAAGGACTCCCAGACTATGAGAAATAAGATTCTCTGGTCTGATGAAACCAAGATTGAACTTTTTGGTGTTAATTCTAAGCGGTATGTGTGGAGAGAACCAGGCACTGCTCATCACCTGCCCAATACAATCCCAACAGTGAAACATGGTGGTGGCAGCATCATGCTATGGGGGTGTTTTTCAGCTGCAGGGACAGGACGACTGGTTGCAATTGAAGGAAAGATGAATGCGGCCAAGTACAGAGATATCCTGGAAGAAAACCTCTTCAGAGTGCTCTGGACCTCAGACTGGGCCGAAGGTTCACCTTCCAACAAGACAATGACCCCAAGCACACAGCTAAAATAACAAAGGAGTGGCTTCGGAACAACTCTGTGACCATTCTTGACTGGCCCAGCCAGAGCCCTGACCTAAACCCAATTGAGCATCTCTGGAGAGACCTGAAAATGGCTGTCCACCAACGTTCACCATCCAACCTGACGGAACTGGAGAGGATCTGCAAGGAAGAATGGCAGAGGATCCCCAAATCCAAGTGTGAAAAGGTTGTTGCATCATTCCCAAGAAGACTCATGGCTGTACTAGCTCAAAAGGGTGCTTCTACTCAATACTGCAAAGGGTCTGAATACTTATGACCATGTGATATTTCAGTTTTTCTTTTTTAATAAATTTGCAAAAATTTCTACATTTCTGTTTTTTTCTGTCAAGATGGGGTGTTTGCTGCCTTTTATCCCACTGTTCTTGTCACCCTCTTGTTATGTCTATGTATTGTCTCTTGTCTTTCAATAAAAAAAATAAAAATAAATAAATTATAATAAATTAAAAAAATGCGTTAACGCCCGATAAAATAATTGTCGGCGTTAATTGATGAATGCGTTAACGCGAAATTAAAGCGTTAACTTGCCCAGCACTAATTTTTATTTAAAACTAGCTTTAATAAATATATTATAAGCTGCTTAGAGCCAGTGTTGGGCAGTTAAACAGTTTATAGTTCCCTCTCTAATATCTATTATTTATTGCCTCATCCTTTAAACAACTGGATTTATTAAAGTTTCTCGCCAAAAAACTAAATTTTACAAGATTACATTTTAACACATCATGATACAGTTATACTTTTTCTTACGGCCAATACGAATATTTAGTGAGTCGAGCTTGAACGCATCATAATGCAAGTCAATGCGACCTCCGTTAGCAGTTCTCCGTTATAAGCCGGACTGTGTTAGCAGAGACTTTGTGCTGTTAGCAGACGAGCCGTTCACCGTGATTACTGTGAGCAGCATGGTGGGAATGAAAAACAATATAATAAGTGTAATGATATACATTATAAGAAGTACAATACCTATGTATAAAAGGTGTAATAAGTTAGTTGTTCCAGATGTTTTAAGGCTGTTCCTCCACGGCCTATTTTGGATTTACAGTTGTGGCGAATTGTGAAGAACTTTTCACACTGATGACGTGTGTGTGTGTGTGTGTGCGCAACTGTGGAGACTGAAAACCGCACAATGCAGCCGAACGGTCGGTGCGTCTCTAATAATAATAATAATAATAATAATAATGAGTATGTTTTCAAACCTTCAAGGCTTCAAGCATCGGCTCCTGAAGAACATCCACCTTGTCCGACTCCTCCAGATCCTGACGGTCTGCAAACACACACACACACACACACACACACACACACACACACACACACACAGAAAACACATTAAATATATCAGTAGGAACACAGAACATGTATATGTACAGATATCATCTCTATTAGACAAAATAATTCCTGTCCTTACACGTTTATTTTCCCACCACAGCACTAAACACCAAAGCAACTCTGCATTCCCTCACGGTTTTCTATCCATTATTTTATTTCATATTCCTCAGAAACACCAGGTGCAGTACCTCCACAGAGCAGGCAGATGGCGCTAAGCAAACCCGTCTCTGCATCGTCCATCTCCAGCGGCAGCAGCTGGTTGGCGAAGGAGAACACCAGGTCGGTGAGAGGTCCGAACCCGGCGTTGTGCATCTGTGTGCGGTTCAGGGTCAGACCGTCGGAGAAGGTCATGGTGTCCTTTTCTGGGGTGTAGCGGGTGCAGATCCTCAGAATCTGAAACAGGAGATAAATTCCCGCTGTAGCACAACTGTACATTTCTCTTCGTTTGGGTATCGATCTGTGTGACAAAGAAAACTCACCAGTATGTCGAGGCAGGCGGATTTCAGCAGGGTGATCTGGTCGGCGATGGTTAGCGTGGTGAAACCGGGGAGCTGCTTGGCGAACTCCACCGTCTTGATGATGCACTTGGTGGACAACTCGCTGAACTTGTCCCAGAGGCTGACATCCAGAGCGACACGGTGCTCCGAGCTGTTGCTCTGCAGGTTCAGGTAGGGGATAGAAGGCAGAGAGACACAAACAGTAAGAAAACCAGCATTATAGGTTTGAATTTGTTTTTGTAGTGAGAGTTATTAAAGTTACTACAAGGAACTTTCATTTTGTAATGATTTTGGCGGCCCCTGCTGATTAAAGCGGTAGTGTCTCTGAGCACCAGAGTCCCTTAAGAAAACATCTCATTTTACTGCAGCAGGCGTGCGACAGCGAAGCTGGATCTGAGTCTGTCGACGGTGGGCTGGTCTCTGGAATCTGAGCCGAGGACGTTTCTGGTGAACATGCATGATTCCGTCTGATTTCACGTGGAACCTGCCCAGGTGGCACCGATAACAAGCATTGAGGAGAACTATGTAGAAATAGTCAATCTTCTCGCTGATGGTCTAGTTTACTCAGTAAATCAGTATTACATTGAGACTGTTTTATAACCAGTTAAAAGTCCCTCAAAGTAACTAAGACGATCTTTCTGCATTTCTTTACTAAAGTAAGCGTGTTGGTGTTGCTCTGTGTACCGTGGTGTATTTTCCCAGCTGACCCAGGGAGGGAAAGGTGTCCTGGTGGGCCCGGCGGACTCCTTCAATCATCTGCTCCGTGTCTGCCGACAGGACGTAGATCTCCGTCTCCCCCTGCCGCTTCTCCTCCTTCTTCTTCTTCATCCTGTCGTTTCGCACCACTGGACGGTGGGAGTGGAGAAAGATCGGAAGATTTAGCTCGGAAGTTAAAAGCAGAAAATTCACTAAATGAAATCGAGTAGAGTGACGCGGCTCTTTGGAAGCTCTCCTGTCGTGTTTCGTACATGCTTCTCACCAGCGTTTAGTTTCTTGTAAATCCTAGGCAGTGAGGGTCTAATGGAAAGAGATTACTTTATGAGAAAAGAAGAATATTTGGAGCTTGGAGCGATTTAATATATTATATAATTGCCCACTTTTTTGTAAACCTAAAAGTGCATGGAAGAGTAATCCACAAAGTATACATAGAAGCCCGACAGTAAATCTCTGGATTACTCCTTTAAGATTAAAAAAACAGATGATGTATAGTGATGCAAGACGCTGGTTATTATGAGTTAATGCTGGTGGTTTTGTGGGGCATGCATCAGCTGAGGAAGGCCACCAGAGGGAGACAAATATCAAGGTTTAAACACTGTGCTGCCTGCTTGAAGTCACTTAGTGCACTAGGTTCTGCTTTATTAGTGCATGACAACAAAAATTAAAAAGGGACAGTTCACCCCTGAAATCCTAAATATATTATCTGCTGCCTGTAGTGCTATTCATTGATCGACCTTGTTTTGGTGCGAGTTGCAGAGTTTTGGAGGCATAGAGGCCTAGAGATGTGTTAAATAATCATGACCCGGATACTCCCGGTAATCCACAGACCTTGTTGCGAGGAAAATTTCCGGAAAGAGACACGGCTGTTGAGCTTTTCAAATGTTTTTTTTTTTGTTTGTTTTTTTTGTAATTTCGCATTGAGCACCACGAACTATATAATCCCATTATACTGGAGAGAAGACAAACAGCTCTACGGCCAGAGATACCTCACAGAAAAACAACCTAGATTGATAAATAGCTCTACAGGTGAAAAATCTGTATTTTTGATTTGGCAAAAAAAAATAAAAAATAAAAATATGGCACCGCATCCACATCACCGTACTCACACTCCTTGGACATGCCGACTTCGAGGCATTTCTGCAGCCGACAGGACTGACACCGGTTCCTCGTCACTTTGTTTATGACACACACTTTGTCTCGGTGACACGTGTACACCATGTTTTTCTGGATGCTCCTCCGAAAGAAACCCTGACGCGGAGAGAAGAAAAAAAACAATGGAGGCAATGACTGGCAGGGGAACGGACAGAACATTTGGAGGTGCAATAAAAACGGGAGCGACCTTGGTGTCAGAACCAAAACTGGCACTTTTCATGATCACTGCTGCAAACACATTTTATTGTTGCCGAGCAGCTGGTAAGCAGGTCAGTGCGTGTTATAAAAGGACATGACCACAAGCGCACAAAAGCCCACACACAGATATCAAAGCAGATACTAATTGCATCCACAGATTATTTGTGTAAATGTGCGTGTGGGATTAGATGAGGCAAAGAGGCTTACAGATCCCAAGGGAGGCGCAAAGGTCACAACCTCTCCGCTTACACATTATGCAAATACTCAGTAGTCTCACGTAACTATTTTTCATTCAGGTTTTTCTAGGTGCAGCCGACACGTGTTTCACAATTAGCGCGGCGCACATTGTGGCAACGTCTACAAATGGTGTGGGGGGCAGCGAGTCGGCCTTGTGTAACTCTCGCGATGAATAACATGAAGTGATGCCGTCTGCTTTATTTCTGGAGTGAAAAAATGGCAAACTGACAACGAAACCGCCAACAGGTAAAATGTACTCGTGGTGGCTGTTTTCCAATCGCAACTTTGTTTCAGTAAAACATTCCCGCAGTCTGTGACTTTTTCCTAAAAGTGTGTCACGAAGCAATGTAGCAACCCTCATCGTAAAATTTGTCACGGTGAAGCCCGGTTTAAAATATTACCTAGGGACAGGCTAAGTCCCGCCCCTTCCGGTGTCCCCAAAAAATATGTACAGTAGTCAACGGCAAAAAGACAAATATTTTGTTGCTTCAGTTTGACCTGTGCCTTGAATTACAATTGTCATTGTCTGGCAAAATGAACCCAAAAGACGGCAGATAAAGCTAACTAGCTGAAATGAGGTCAGAGAGACACTGGAGTGTAAACGTAACGTTATGGAGGTTTTGGAATATTTCATGATGTCACTCAGAGATGGTCTAAGAAGAATCCTTTATTTCTTCACAACAGAAACTTGAGCAATATCTGATCAAATTCATATTAGTCACATACTTCCCGTTTTTTCTCAGTGCATGGCTGCATGTCTTTATTGTAGTAAAGGAGCATTTTACCAGAAGACGAAGGATAAGTTTTGAATTTTGAATAAAATGAAATACTTTTGTCCAATCAATAATCGATTAAGCAAAGCAAGTCAGATGTCAAAATAGTTGTTAGCCGTTACCCAGAGTGAGTGTTGTGTCAGTGTAAGTTTAGCCCACTCACGTGTTTGGCTGCTTACCTTGCAACCCTCGCAGGCACTGACTCCATAGTGGTATCCTGAGGACTTGTCCTGGCAAACAAAGCAGGGCTTGTAGATGCGGGGCGGAGGTGGAGGCGAGGCCGGGCTGGGGACGAGGAGGTCCTCTCCCGAACTTGTGCTCTCAGTCTCTATGGCTGCGGGAGGAGATGGAGGGAGGGAAACATTGTGTTCAGACATCAACATCTCTCTGGTTTGTATTAGATTTCGAATATTTAAATATTGCATTCATTTATTGGAAGTGAATATTTTTGATACCGCGCCAAATGTTTAAGGGGTCGCGTCAGGTGAATGGATGGAGGTGAGCTAGCCATCAGTCATAGATGACAGCATGAACACTCACATTTAGCTCTTTTGTAAATGTGTAATGCAACCCAAAAATAAACTTTGCACAAGTTGCGAAAGGAGCCGCAAAACAGAACAAAATTAGCAGAGGTTTTGCGTCAGAGTGGACCACTCTTTTTGTAGTCACCGTACGTAGCCCAGATGATACTTCATAAGATTTTGAATCCATTGTGGTTAATGTCAAATATGATTCAGGTTTGGGTATATTTTCAACACCAACTGCCATGTTTGTGCCATCAGCTGTATCAGACATAATCTAATTTAAAAAGGAACCCGTTGTTTCCCAGCAAGCCGGCTCAGAGGAACAGCTCTTCAGTGGTATCCAGAACCACTTGTTCCTGCAACCCTGGTACAGGCACAGGCCATCAAGCCCTGGACCAACCAGGACCGACACAGTTCCGTACCAACAGTTTCAGTTTCAACTGGTTTGGTCACGGTGGTTAAAGGAATACTTATGTTATGTCATATACATGTCTGTGTGGTAAATAGCAAGCTACAATGATGTAATGAATAGTTTAAAACTCCTCGTCTCTGGTATTGTCTCAGTCCAAAATCCAAACGTCAAACTTCAGGTAAAATAGATAATGTAATCGTTTCCAAAATTCACAACATGTTTTTATCTGGTAAATATTCTGCTTCAATCCATATTCGTTGGCATTTTTACTGGGGTCAAAAACTGTTTGCATTTATATAATACTTGACACAAAACTATATTTTCCCCATTCTGTTAGGGTGATAACATCATAAAATATGACAACATATGCCTCGTGCCTGCTGTGTCTCTGTCTCACACAAGAATGTGACAAAATCAAATGAGCTGTTGAACAGAAATGGAAATGTTTGTTTACATTTGATACCACAGCTGGATGAGTCAAACGTTGAATGCAAGACAAGACTTTTTAAAGAACGCTTCATCTTTGTTGAAATCATTTATGTTGCGCTTCACTTTTGCTGGGTGCCATTTTTTTTAAATCATTACTGTATGGAATATGTTGTTTGTACTCAATACCATGTTGTATCATCAAACGCTAATCCAATCCCAACTCTTAATCTCTTAATCACGCATTGCTTCTGTGAGGTGGGAATCAAGGTTACGGGCGGGTGGGTCTGGTTAGGGAATGTGTTGCCATTGACACAGGCAAATTAACTACAGTGGTGGGATTAAACCTTTTTTAATGAAATTATTTGTGTTTGGTAAATGCTACTGCTACTCATGTCAGATCAAGACAAGGTCATGGTGGTAATTTTTTGTTAACTTTTCAATTTCAGTTTAGTTTTGACTTTTTGATTACATTTTAGCTCAGTTCTAGTCAATTTGCTCATGTAAAGTTAATTTCAGCTTTTCAGAAAGGTTTAGTTTGAATGTTCTCAGTAGTTTCAGTTTGTTTCGGGGCGGCTCTGTCTCAGTGGGTAGAGCGGGTTGTCCTTTTTTCTCTTTGCCCCTGCCTTTTATTAAATCCCTTCTTACACTGCACAGTTTTACACTTAATCTATTTTAGCTTGTTTGTATTTTATTTTATTATAAATTGTATTCACCTGAATGCGTTTCTTTTGCACTCGGTCTTTTCGGGTTTTATGTGAAGGGCTTTGAGTTGGCTTGTTGCTGAAATGAACTAAATAAATAAACTGGCCTTGCCTTTGATCACGAGGTTAACAGTTCGATCCCTGGCTCCTCTTGTCTGCATGTCAAAGTGTCCTTTAGCGAGATCACTGAACCCAACGTTGCTCCCTAACCCACTTAGAATGGGTTATGTATACCACGATTGAAATAAAGTCTATATTGTTGAGTTTTAATACATTTTCACTGCTTATTTCATTATTTTTCCTTTTGGTTTCAGTTTTTAATTCGCGATGGTAACCCTGGTTCAAGTGGGCTGCACACCAGCAGCTGTGTGGTGAGTAAAGGATAACATCCCGCTGCTGATTCTGTGTGCGGGCTCATCTTGTCAAAGTGTTTGTTATCTTTGTTAGGAGACAAGGCAAAGACGGACCGCGACCCATTTTAAGGTGACTCCTCAGATTAAGATACCAGCCACAACTCCTAACCTAACACACACACTTCTCCCCTCCCCCTGCTTTAGTAGCCATACCAGACATTCCACTATGGAGGAGATTCAAATCCGCTCCACTGGCCTGCTCTGTTTACATAGAGAGAGACTCACAGAGAAATAAAGAGAGGAGAGGCGATCCTCCTCCTCCTCCTCCTCCTCCTCCTCCTCCTCCTCCTCCTCCTCCTCCTCCTGTCTTTGCTCTCCTCTCACTGACATCCTAGCCAACAGTTTCCCCCGTCAGCGCTGTCTGACCTCTTTTAAACTTCTCTCTGCTCTTCGCCTCGTATTTCCAAGCGTCCCTCACTCTTGTTTTCATCCGTGCGCTTTTTTAAATCTCTTCCTATCGCCTCTCGCTCCTGCGTTGTGCGTGCGGGAAGTAGTCGCCAGCTTGTTCAAACAGAATGGACAGCTTTTAGCCGTAGGTTTTGGTTCGGAGAAAGACTTATTTTTTGTGTTTTGATATGAGGGATGAGGTATTTTAAAGGGATCTTTCAGGTTATTTTTAAGTGGGTTAGTATGAGATACAGTAGATGGCGGTCGGCACACCCCCAGTATGGAGAAAAAGACAGGAGTACCAATGCACTGCTGGTGACGGGGACAGCAGCAAAACATTTTTAGACAGCTAAAATAAATGTGTACGCTACATTTAGAATATGTTCACCGCTTTAGACTGTCCTTTTCTGACGGGAAACCGAAATAAAAGTGAGTATGCTCTCCTCTTCTCTTACTGTGAAATATAAATATAGCGTACACTTAAAACTGATATTGATTTTTAGGTGTCTAAAATAAGACTGTGCCCCCCCCGCAGTACATTGCTTTGCTCCTGTGCTGGTACTCCTGTCTCTCATCTAATGTAGGTGATACACTGACTGTGGATAAGAACCTCATACAACCCCGCTTCAGAACTACCAGACTGTCCCTTTAACGGAGAGGAATATTGGTGACTCGTCCTTGTGACTCACTCAAAATCAAAAAAGGATAATAGCTTTAATAAATGAATTAATCTCATCGGTGAATAGACTCCAGAATCTTTGTGTGTCGTATGTCATCACTAGTTACCCTGATGTATGTAGGGTAGATCTTGATTCTGAGGCAAAATGTTTAAACGATGACTTGAATAGATATGTCTTTTGGTTTGTCCCTGTGGTGGCCCGTGTCACTGGGCATTATCAGTCTTGAATCAGTGGCCACCTCCACCGCTTCCGTTATCACGGCCTGGATCTCCTCTCTACGCCTCCCCAACGTGAAAGGCAAGGTCAGATGTTTGTCATTGTGCGACGCAGGAATGCGAAACAAAATGCAGTTGAAAGCGAATGCTGCGTACGATCACGGGGACACCTGCAGCTGCCTTACATTTGTCAAGGGAAAGTCAAGACGAGTGACTGTCAATTTTAACAACAGATTGTTTGGAGACGTCAACACTAAGCTTGGGGTTTACTCTGGCCTGAAGCTACAAATAAAGCACTGTTAAAACCTTTTCAAAGTCTGGGCCGTCCCTGCTCCAGGGCAGAGCCAGCGATCTGTGTCCTCTGGTCAGATCGCAACGTTGCATGTTAGCCAGCGCTGGGGTAAGTCGTTTTTCCAAATCTGATGTGAACTAGTGTTTAATGGTCTCCCCGGGCGGTCCTGGCTTTGCGCCAGCGGACAGTTCCTGAATAGAGAGCATGCTCTCTCAGCTTAGAGGTTGGCCTCGGATGACGACACCGACTTCTGCCTCCCGGACAGTTAACAAGGTGTTCTCAAACATATTATTGTAGACGCTGTTAAGTCTTACTGACATCCGTTATCACTGCTAATGACTTTCATCCAACTAACTAACAACACTTAATAAGCGCATGGACTTTGATTAAAGTTTGATGAGCGTGGCTATTATTTGGGCCATCATCTATTAACTAAAGGATTAATCTGCCATTGAATCTTATATCTATTTCTATTATTTAAGGCACGATACGACATTATCACGATACTTCAATAACGATACGATATTATCACAAAACTTTAAAATACTTGAGTCAGGATACGATACATTGCGATATATTTATCACCTTTTTTTCCAACCGTAAATTGTGCACTTTCTCAGCATTTGTTTTATCTAATGAGACGTTTCCACTCGGTTCATCTCACTTCAGTCCATTTCTAATAGGACTTCAGCCGATGAACTATATTTATTATCATCAACTATTTCCTTTTACTTTAAGTCATCTATAGTGGTGATTTGCATAAAACCAATTCAAATTATGAAAGATTGAATATATATTGATAAAAAAATCTTTGCATCAGTAATTTTAATTAGGTATTATAAGCTGTTTAGAGCTATCGTTAGGAAGTTAAACAGGTCATATTTTCCTCTCTCATATCTATTTATGCTGCTGTGGAAACATCTTCACACAACTGGATTTATTCAAGTTTCTCACCAAAACTATTTTTACAAAGTTCCATTGCTCCTACACTATCTAGCTTCTTCAGTCCTTATGGTTATGAAACAGTGACTTGCATAATCACCGTTAACGCCAAATCGGTTAATCCCAACATCCATTATTGCAATAGTTTATATAATAAAAGATTGTCTCTACTTCTCTCTTGATTTATTACCTCAGTAAACATTGTAAACATGAGTTCATGTCTCAATATCTAGTTTCAAGTCTTCTTCAATACAGCATGATGTTCATTTAGTAAATTATGGTCCATTTAGAGTCAAATAGACCATAAAGCAGAGTATGTTTTTAGGGCGTGGCTACCTTGTGATTGACAGGTTGCTACCAGAGCGGTGTCCACCGTCTCACTTACGTTCACTGGTTGCAAAAACTAAGATGGTGACCGCCAAAATGCCGAACCCGAGGCTTCAAAAACTGCAGTCCACAAACCAACGGGTGACGTCATGACGATTACTAGTCTATGGACATAACACACTAAATACAGCCTGGACAAACAACCCCCTATATTTCCATTTTATTCCTGTTTTCTATTCAATTCCCACAAATTATATATAAATTCCTGTTAATTGCCATGGAAAGTTTCAACCTTGAATATTCCCCATAATTGTGCGACCCTATGCAAGTCACACTACAGGAAAATGCAACCCCAAACAGCAATGGCAGCCCGTGCAGTGCTGTTGTATTGATGCTGTGTTGAAGTTTTAGGAATTCTACACGGTGCCACAATAGCAGCCATAGTTGTTTCTCTTTCTTCTTTATCCCGTCTCTAATAAATATATGAGTTGAGAAGATGTGACATGAGAGAAGAAATTCCTTCATAGTCAAATAGAGACGAGGACGTGCCATGCCAGAGGACTCTGACTAGAGCAAATGAATTAATAACCAGCTTTCCACTGCCGCTCTTTTAGCAGTCATCCGACGATCCCACACACACACACACACACACAACATAAAGACACCTAGACGCAAACGC